GCGACGGTAGATGATATTCAATGTGTTTGTATTATGCTGAGTTAGGCATTTTTGAAAGATATTTTCTTTTGCCAAACCCTCGATTGCTATCTTCACTCTGTCTGAAAATTAGAGAAAATCAGTACCATATGATTTTGTGTTAGCGTGATAAGTGATGCATTTAAGAAATTATTGAAGTTTCCTAAGTTATCTTTTTCTGGTTAGAGAGCTATAGATTGTTTAGTACAAATTGCTTTGCTGCATTTAATCGTATTTGTTTTACCTATGCTATGGTTTTTACTCATTGGATTCTTTCTTTTTGGAATTGTTTAAACTTGGGAATCAAAAGTAAGTGATAACTACGATAAGGTCCCACAAAAGTAATTCACTATTTTAACCATGGTATTGCCATCCTCTAGCTAAACTAAGCTAAGTGTTTTCTACGCAACCATATGTTTTTTAGTTTTAATAGGTTTTTATAATGTCTGAGGAGAAAAAAATGAAAACCTGTTGAACAAATATGAACAGTATGATAATGGAAAACTTTGTGTTCAACTTATGTTCCTCTATAAAATAACAATATGAAATATGAATATTTTATATATCATAAAAAAAGTCCATTCTACATTATTTTCACTTCCATTTAAGCGTGATATTCGTCTTCATGTGGCTATTGCAGGTGGTTGGGAAAAATATGCTGAGGACTATTGCTTCATAGCGAATTCGTATTATGTACCATTTGAGGAAGAAATTCCAACTGATATTGACGATAGAAGGGATCACATCAGCTATTATCGATGGGTTCCTATAATGTTAGCGCTGCAGGTAAGAGCATTTTAAGCAAATTTGTTCTCCTTTGATAAAGTAGTCTTTAGGCTGTCATGTTTTTCATCCCTAACTGGATTTGGAATATGCTTCACAAACAAACAGGTACATATGTCTATTTTCAATCTATATTCTACACTTCATTAACTTAGTTAATATTTTCAGCCATCAATCCAAGAGCATTCTTGATTGAAGCCGAAAAGATCAAATTTGCTGTTGGGGAGAAGAGAGAGCAGGAAATTAAGTCACTTGCTAATTATTTCATGGATACTGTAGCAGTGTTCACATATCCAGGAAATTACAAACTGAGTGTACGTTGATTTCTGATATTTCCAGTTTATCTAAAATACAGATCCGCTAACCAAAGCTTACTAGGGCTCAATTGCGCCGTTTGAAGAGTAGAACGCTGTAATATTGACAAAGCAAAAGAGTACATTAACTTTCATCTGGTAAAGTAGTACCTTAATAGAGTAACTATGTTCAAGACACAAAGTGCATCTAATTGTAAGATAAAGAAGGCTAAGAAGTTGAATTTGAATATTCTTCAACTTTTAAAGCCTCAACTTTTTTGATTTTAGGAAGCTCGAGGACCAAGTTTGAATTTGAAGTACAAAAGCAAAACGTTTATTTTTTGAGAAATATTACAATTCAAAATTTTTCTGAACCTGTCAACGTTAGGAACTGACAAACTGCTAAAGTATCATTACAAATCTTTCCAATGCATATCTCACCAAGAACAACGGCATCTGTATTTCTTTCAGAAGCGCACGGCACCGCGATCTGGATACAATGCAATGTGGCTCTATCTATTCACCAAGGCCGCATATGTCGCGAACATTTGCCTGCAGCTGGTCATCCTCAATCACTTTATAGGAGAGAATTTTATGCGATGGGGATATGAGGTGAGCCTCACATTTTATTGGGAAAAAAAT